AGGAGGTAATCCTCTATTTTTCACAACCCCTAGGCTGTAACTTCTTGTTAGATCTTTCTTGCATAGCTCTGTTTTCCTGAGAAACCACTTTGAAGATACCAACATGTATTACAGGAGCCATTGATAATTTCCTACCAATCTGTCCATAACTCTATAATGTTTGTATTGTTCCTATGCTATTTTGTAAATGGATGTATGTTTATTACTATGTGTTTCCAACAACAACCATTGAGAATAGTCCATGATTATTTAATTGATCACTCATGTATAGCTCTATTTGTTTTCTCTAGAAACCACTTTGAAGATACCAAAGTATAGTACAACAGCCATTGATAATTTCCTACCACTTTTGTCTGTAACTCACTATTATTTGTCTATTTGTTTTCCTGAGATACTATCTTGAAGATACCAATAGGTAAAATAACAACCATTGATAATTTCCAACCACTTTGTCTGTAATTTGGTAAATCCCCCTATTACTATGTTATCCTTGTTTTACTCTTTAGAATAAAAAATAATAAATAAAAAATAAAGGATTCAGTCTGAACTTGAGTCAAGTCTGTCCTTCTCCAGCTCATTCTTGGTTCATATAGGTAATCCTACACTGCAAGACAGCATAAACAATTTCATCATCTTCCTTTTCCCTTATAAGCTGCCTAGAGTTCCTCAATGTTTGAACTAGCAGCAGGAGGAGAGATAAGAAACTGTATACTGGTACTGTTGTAGGCTTACTTTGTGCTTAATAACTTTGCAGAGGTTAAAGATGACTTAGTATTTCTAAAGGTTCTTAAGCAATCTTTCCTTGTTGTATAATCTTCTTGATGTGTGCTAGTGTAGATTTGCACTGTTTGCCTCTTCCTTACTCACTTCTTAGCTTCCTTTGCTAAAGTTCCCATTTACTCTCTCAGGCAGCCCTCAGATACAGAATTCAAAATGAGTCTATCTCCCATGTGGCCTTCATTTGGTCCACGCTTATGTGATTCATATTTTACCTCAAAGAACTCAAATATAAACCATTAATGCAACCACCTCTTATTAACAACTGGACATCTTATCTCTTATCCTTTGGATTTCATAAGAAGAGTTCATACATCAGTCTCTGTAGCCTATGGCTGCATAGAACACATATCAAATACTCCAAGAGAAAATCAATTTTTTATATTCAAAAATCAAAATTTTTGTATTGTCTAGCTCATAACCAGTTATAACTTAATGAGGAGGGGAATTTTAATAGCCATCTAATCAATTCTTAGCCATCTATTTTAAAATCTGGATCTTGTCAGGTTCTTTGTTATCTGTGTCTCTTACCTTGGAGTCTTTACTAGCATTTTCATTTAATAGTCTGTTCTGGGTGCTTTTCCTTAGATATTTTATCCCTACATTCATTATGCTTTTGTATTAAATAAGCAATAAGTACACATATGTAACTCAGAAAATCTAAGAAGTTCGCCTTGTTAAACAAGATGTTATTCTTGATCTTTATTCTTCTGTTCAGTGTTTACCTTGTTCTAATTTTTTAGTAATAGATATAATGAATTAGAATAATAGCATGTTTCTCATTGTACATATCCCTTTTTGTGTTTTTAATTGTTAGAGTCATAGAAATTAAAATTAACTGTTCCAAGTATATAGTGATTTTTATGATATATTTCAATTTGCTTTCAGAATAGTCACACTACTTTACAACGCCACTATGAATATATGAATATACAATTTTCACTAAACTCACCATACCAAAATGTCAACTCTTCTCTTTTTATTGTAACTAATGTGGAGTTGAATTGGAGGTCCCTAAGAGTTTGAAGGGCATTAGATGACTGCATTTATCTCAGAGGTTTTTGTTTTATTGAGAATTCAAATCTCAGCAGTGACAATACACAAATAGATAATGTTGGGAGGTCAGATTAGATGAGAATCTAGGAAACTCACTATGTTTTTTCTCAGGTTCCAAGGCCCCTGGGTAGACTCCTTCTAACATCTTTTTTCACTTCAAGAGTTTTGAGCTGTACTTATAGTGGAAGGTGTAAGGAGAAATGTGTCTACTCCATCTCATTTCACTAAGTCACTATTTTTCACTATTTTTTTTTTTTTTTTGGTGCCAGGAATCAAACTCAGGTGCTTGCACTTGCCAGTTAGGCACTGTGCCACTGAGCTATATCCCTGGCCCTCAAGTCACCTTCATTTTTGAAAAATATTTTGATGGGTATGAATTTCCAGATTAACAGTTCATTTGTTGCACACTTTAAAGATGTTGCTCCACTGTCTTCTGGTATTTATTTTTTCTGATGAAAATTCATCATTTTATTTTCATTTGTTTTTCAGATGTCTCTGCTTTTCAACAGACCAGCTGAGGAAGCACAAAGATACAGATCTTTGTCAAGACCTTAGCGAGCAAGACCATCACCTTGGCAGTGTGTGGTGGTGCATGCCTGTAATCCCAGCACTCAGGAGGGAGGCTCAGGCAGGAGGACTGCTGTGAGTTCAAGGCCAGCCTCTGCTACATAGCGAGTTCAAGGTCAGCCTGAACTACACAGCAAGACTCTGTCTCAAAAAACAAAACAAAAAAGACCATCATCTTGGAGGTTGAGCCCAGTGACATCTTCCAGAATATCAAAGCCAAACCCTATATAAAGAAGGGCATCCTACCTGACCAGCAGAATCTGATATTTGCAGGCAAACAGCTGGAAGATGGCACACTCTCTTTGACCACAACATCCAGAAAGTCTACCTGCTCTTGGTGCTTTGCTTAAGAGGTAGCATTATGGAGGCTTCCCCACACTAGCTCACCCAGAAGTACAACTGTGACAAGATGATCTGTTACAAGTGTTATGGCCACCTGTACCTTTGTGCTGTCAACTGCCACCAGAAGTGCAATCATACCACAACACCACAACCTCTTCCAGAAGAAGATGGTCAAGTAAAGCCCTCTACCAGCTCCTTCTTTCCTAGAAGGGCAGCTACCTGCCCAAGCTTCATGGCATTGAGACCACAATAAAGTTTTGAGGCAGGAAGATAGTATGGCTAAAACTAGCTGGGAAAGGAGGTGTGACAAGATCCTGGAACACAAACACAGTACAGTTCTCAAAACCCTGTATGTGGACTTCTCACAAGAACTCAAGCAGGTTTTTGATAGGATGACCTAGACTTGAAGCCAGTGTGGGAAATATGTAAAAAGGACAGTCTTCATTAAGTGCTTGCTATTCTGCCAGTTGAGGGTAGTCCACCCTACACCATAGAGTCTATTTTTATTTTTCCTCCCTTTTTACTTGGGCCAAATCTTGCTCTGCAGAGCCCATTTCCCCCTTATCCTTCTGTTTTTTAATAAATGTGAAACTCTGCCTCTGCTTCTGCTTGTTTCATTTAATTCTTTGTCCAGGACAGAAAAGACCTAGAAATCACCTCTGAAAAGAGATTGTAGCACCTCAGAATCCAGTAACAGTTTCACTTATGCTGACTAGGGGGAAAGTCCCTTTATTACTGGTTTGCAGCAATATCATTATGGTGTGTGTGGGTGTAAGTTTGTTCTGTGGATTTTAAATTTCTATCAAATTTTGAAAACAGCCATTGTTTTAAAAAATATTCTCTCTCCTTTGTAGCATTCTTATTGCACATCATATTGTCCTGTAACTTCTCTGTTCATTTTTCCATCATTTTTCTCTGTTTCATTTTCAGGCAATTTTTATTGTTACATCTCTAAATTTGCTGGTCTTTTCTTTTTGTAATATGTAATCTGCTCATATGCCTGTGTGATCTATTTTCTTTTTGCATGCTGAACTTGTGATCTCCAGAAGATCAATTTCCCACTTGCATTTTCCTCTCTGATTTTTAAATTTTATTTAATTAATTAATTAAATTTTTTTTTTGTCTTTTTGAGACAAGGTCTCACTATGCAGTTCAGGCTGGCCTTGAGCTCACTTTGTAGCCCAGGCTGGCCTTGAACTCGTAATGATCCTCCTGCCTCAACCTCCCGAGTGCTGGGATTACAGGTGTGCATCCCCACGCCCGGCTTTCCTCTTTGATTGTTCAGGGGTCACTGGCCTACGTCAAATTTTCCCCAAAGTATCCACTGTTCCTTTGAGCTCACGAGCACAGTTTTGCACTGTGTTTAGTCTCACTGAGTTTTATAATTTCCCTGAAGATCCTCACCTGGAGGGCTGACCCTGTGTGGGCACTGTATACAATCAAAGCAGCAGAGAGAGGTCTTAATGAATCTCACAAAGAGTAGAAATGTATTAGAAAGAAAATGGTCTTTCCTGAGGGAGCAGCTCTGACATCCCTGAGGGTTCTGTTTGATTACCTGTGGAGTATATCGTCTTTGGCTATTCAAAGTATTGAACTACGGCAAAAGAAATAATATATTATTATTTAGATGAGCCAAACAAGAAAACCGTGGTTCAAAGACCCCAAAATTATAATGAAGGCATTGAGTTTTTAGTGCAGAACGAGAATGAAAGATAAAAGCTTGGGTCCACATCAACTCAGCTGGCACCTGAGGTTTTAGCTGAGTTACATAAGGCCCCTATTCTCAGTCAATTCTCTTTTTCTTTTTTTCTTGTGGTATGAGTGATTGAGCTTGAGACCTCGACACTGAGCTACATCCTTCCCCTTACTTTATGTATGCACGGATGTCTACCTACTTTTTAGAGACAGGGTTTAGCTAAGTCGCTAACTTGCCCTGACTGTGCTCCAACAGGTGATTCTCCTGCCTCAGCCTCCCAAAGTGCTGGGATTACAGGATCGCATCCTGAATAGTGGTTTTCTTCACTTGCACAGAAATGTTCAAGGCAAATATCGTATCAGTCTTTTTTGTGCAAGTAACGTCTAATGGTATTGTTAGTGCTTGACAGTCATAGCCTCTCAACACAAGTGCCTTCATTCTGCCTGGACAAAAAAAAAAATCAAATCCTTTATAAATGAGGACAAAACCAAAGTGGGACAGGGAGGGGTGGTCTCGACGCTGAGGATTCTGGGAGCTGTAGTCCTGGTGCCCGGCTGCACAGGCGCACTGCGTGCCTGGAGACGGCCGGCCAAGCCCGCGCCATGGCTGGAAGAGTTCCCGCCCTGCTCTGCGAGCGCCCTCAGTCGTCCTCAGTGCGGCCGCCAGGTACTACTGCCCGGGACTGCAGCCTGGGCTCGTCGCCGCCCCTCACTCGGCGCTGGGCTGCAAGCAGCGTCTGGGGCGGGGCCGTTCCCGCTGGGCCGCAGTCCCCGGCGGACCCGCCCACCTGGAGGGCGATGGGGCGGCCCTCCTGCCCTCCGGCTCTCAGGCCCCGAGGGCTCCGCCTCCGCCGGTCGCCGTGCCCTGGGCCGACGGGGCCTCCGCAGACCCTGGCAGGCCTCGCGCACAGGGCTGGGGCGCGGGGCCTGGGCTGGGGTTCGACAAGCGCGGGCGACCCGATCGGATGTGCCGGGTCTTCCAGTCCGCGCCTTTGCTCACGGAGAAGCGGGGCCCGGGGGGCAGACCAGGGCAGTGCAGAAAACGACAGTGGCAGGAGGATGCCCGCCTGGCTTCCGAGCTGACACGGGTGGCCCTGCGTTTCCCATCGGCGACCTGCTGTGCGCTCTCCTTAACCCAGGCAGCTTTTCCTTCCTGGCTCATGTCAAAGCATTTCGCGTGATTACCTTTGAATCTCTTGTCACTCCCTGACTAGACAGGGCGTTGTCGCATTGGTTGGGAAATGTTGGCTGATCCACGCACTGAAGTTCTTAGCAAGAACATGGACCTGTCATTATTTTTAAGTAACTATGACGACTTGGGAACCACAGAAAATTAAGTTTCTTTTTAAGTCTCTTGATAATTCTGCCGTTTAGAAAAACAAAGCTTGGATGAAGTCACAACACTGAGGGAAAAAAAAAAAAAACAAGGAAAATTATAACTTTGAGGAAGTACCTAGATATCTTCTAAATAATGTTAAAAGACAAAAGTAGAAACATAATGTAGCTACCCTCATTTACTAATAACCTATTCACTGTACTTAAGAGACTTGTCCACAGTCACATTGCTGTTAGCCAAATCAAAGTCCGAAATTGTGGTTTGCACAACCCCCCTGGAATTTTATTCCTATACCAAACTCTTGCTTAAATATGGATACTTCTGTCTAGTTGGAAAGTACAGAAGAGTAGAAAGTAATTCACATCATAGCTGCAGGTGCTAGAAGTCTAGTAGAGTTTTGGTTTATCACTGACTTTTTTTCTATGTGTATGTTTATACAATATTGAGCTGAATATACTCGTTTAAGTAACATAGGTTGTTCTGATTACAAAATAAATTTTAAAAGATGTTTATTGCGGAGCTGGTTCGTTGAACATATTTTACTAGCATAATCTCTGTGACAAATTCTTAAGGAGTTTAGTACTTTTTACAGATTTAAAAAGAGATGATGGCTCGGGTCGTTCCTAATACTTTTTTAAGACACAGAAAACCATTTAGTTCGTTGGAATTGGCAATATGTTGCTTTTTGTAGGTCTCTAGTGCTTCTGGTTATGTTTAGTGTTATCTCTTAGCTCATTTTTTCCTCACAGCCTTATAAAACTGAGCTGCTTAGAGATCAGTGTATGGGTTTTGGGGGCAGTCAGTCTTCAAATCCCCTGAAATAATATGCAACATCACATGTAAATATGCAGTATGCTGTGGACAAGGTATAGTTCTCAAATGGGTCTATAACTCCCCTCCCCCCAAAAATTTATTGGTGTTAAAATTTGGTAGAACAGCTGTAGGACTCCGTGGTTTCTCAGTGGTCCCCAGGAGAAAATGGGGAGGGGATTTAAAAAATAAAGAGACAAAGCCTAGGGTCAAGTGGAGAGGTGTCTTACCCAATGGCAAGAGGACTGAACAATGATTATAGGGGTGTTTATTTACACTCTTGCAAATTTAGTATCATGAGAAGCAGTGTTGCCTATCAACTAATGACTATAATTGTCCAGGCATGATGTTTTTCTCAAGACTGAGGTAGCTTGACTGCTTGAGGCACTCTGGCTCTGTCCTGCCCTCACGCATATGGCCAATTTCCAGCTCCAGCAGCTCCCAACAAAAAGCCTCAATTAATGTTTGAAATTATGTTCAATCTTAACAAGCATCGCTCCTAACTGTGAGATGAAGAGTTTTTCAAATACCTGTTTGAGGCAGAAGTTTGGCCTGGATAACTTGTGTAGGGTCACAGCCTAGGCTGTCAAGTCCTCTTAGTAAAATATTTCAGTTGGGTTGAACATGATGGTATACACCTGTAATCCCAGCACTCAGGAGGCTGAGGCAGGAGTATCACCAAGAGTTTAAAGCCAACCTATGCTACATATAGTGAGGTCAAAACAAGCCTTAACTACATAGGGAAACCCTGTCTCAAAAAACAAACCAAAAAAATTGCTTGCACTTTCAAGTATGTAAAAAAAATTTCAGAATTGACTTTCAGACATAAGGTAAGAACCTGAGTTTCTTGCTGAAATGGTAGATTTCTTTGCCTCATATCTGGAGTAGAGATTCTGATTTATATTTGGGGCGGAACCAAAGAATTCTCTTTTAAATAACACACCTGGTGAGTTTTATATCCTCAGATTTGAGGCCCTTCTCATTATATGTAGAGGTTTTCTGGGAGAAGATTCATAATTTCCATTATATTTGCAAAGAGATCCATGACCTTAAAAAAATATATCCAGAGAAACACTAGCATAAGAGAAAACCTTATGGATTTCATTTCATTTATGGGTACATTTTGTTGTACCCTTGAGGCTTCATTATGGAAATCCCCCCAGATGATGTTTTTCTTTGCTCGGGTCTTCAGGTCTCAGTGTCACACTCTCAATTTTGAGAGAGAAGATTTTTTTTTTTTGAGACAGGGTCTTGCAAAATAGTTCAGGCTAGCTTTGAACATACCATGTAGCCCAAAACGGCCTTGAGCTCATGGGGATCCTAGGGCCTCAGTCTCCCAAGTACTGGTGATTACAGGTATGTGCCAACACACATGACTAGAAGATTTTATTTTTAATTTTTTAATTATTTCTTTATTTTCCTATATGTTTGTAGTACAAAATGTTTACGTTCCCTGTGTGGAGCTGGTAAATGTACATAACATATCTTAATTCCTTTTTTCATCCTCTTTCCCTCTGCTATCTCTTGATCCCCTTCCCATTTGAGAAAGATCTATCTCCTTTCTTCTTTTATTTTACTCTTTCTTGAAAACCATGTAATATTTAAGCTTGTGTGTCTGATTTATTTCAGTTAATATTATTGTCTCAAGGTGCATCCATTTTTCTACAGATGACTCTATCTTTCATTATGGCATGATAATACTACATTGTATATGCATATCACGTTTTCTTTATCATTTATCTGTTGATAGGCATGTAGGCCCATCCCAAGATGTAACTATTGTGAACTGTACTGCTATAAACATGGGTATGCATGTATCACTATAATATGATGTCTTTAACTCTTTGAGAAAGATGCATAAAAGGGGAATAGCTAGGTCAAATGGAATTTCTAGGTTTAGTTTTTTGAGGGCTCTCCATACTGATTTCCATAGAAATTCCCATATTACATTCCAGTATTATTTTTCCATGCCAAAATCTTTCTCTTCATGCTTAGTAAAATCCAGTGACATAGCCAGGCATGGTGGTGCACACCTGTAAACCCAGCACTCGGGAGGCTGAGGCACAAGGATTGCCACAATTCAAGGCCAACTTGGGGTACACAGTGAGTTCAAGCCCAGGTTGGGTACATAGTGAGTTCAAGACCACCCTGAACTGCAGAGCAAGACCTTGTCTCAAAATAAGAAACAAACTAGTGACATCGTACAGTCTATATTTTTAAGATGTGCACATATTTTCTTGGCTTAACTAAACATTGTTCTTCCCTACTTTTCTGAAAACTTTTTCTTTCATGACCATTCAGTGTTGTTTAGGAAGTTAATTTGGCAGTTTTAAAAGAATCCAAATAACAGTGGTTTGAACAAGACAGACAGTTGTGTCTTTCTCATACAATGACCTGAGTTGATGGTATGGGTGGAGGTAGGCAGCTCCAGTGTCCCAGATTCATGCCATCTTTTTGTTCCATGCTTCCTAAGGGGCATTGTCCTCCTCTGTATGGTGGAAGGTAGTTCATTCCCTTAGCATCTGCATTCCAGGCCATTGGAAGAGGAAAGGAACAAGTGGAGGGTAAGCAATTCCTCTTTACTATTTATTTTTATGTATTTATTTTGCAGTGCCTTTGCCCTGAGCTACATCTCCAGCATTGTTTTTTGTTTTGTTTTTGGAGAGAGGGTCTCGCTAAGTTCCTCAGACTGGGCTCAAATTTGCAGTCTTTTGCTTCAACCTCCCAGAGTTGGGATTGTAGGTATACACCACCACACCCAGCTTCAAGCACCTACCTCCCTTTAAAGATGTGACCAGGAAGTAGGATACATCTCTTTTGCTGAGATCCTATTTGCTATAATTTAGTGACATTGCCACACAGGCTGCAAGGGAGTCTAGGAAATGCCTCTAGCTAAGTAGCTTTTGTTTAGCTAAGAGTCCAAATCTCTGTCAGATAGAAGGGGGCTGGGGTTGGATGTTGCAAAGAAATTAGTAATCTCTGCTGCATCAAATACTTAAATTTTCTGCTTGAGTCAGTTTTAGGAAATTTTTTAGCAGAAATGGTTTTGTGGGAAATTTTATTGACAGGGTGTTTTGGTTTTTGGTTTTTTTGAGGTAGGGTTTCACTATGGAGTTCAGGCTGACCTAGAACTCACTTTGTAGCCAGGCTGATCTCGAATTCACAGAAATTCTCCTGCCTCAGCTTCCAGTGCTGGGATTATAGGCATGTTGCACCACACCTGGCCTATTAACAGTTTTAAAGTGTTTATTAGAGCTCCTTTCTTATTTATATTTTTGGTTTATGGCTTTTGTTTTGACTGACCATTGACTTGTATATTTTATTATTTAGAGAAGTAGCTCCTGACTTTGTCAGCTCTTTGCTTGTTAATTCTTCTTTTTAGTTAAATGTTTATTTTTTTTATTCTTTTTAATGTTTTTATTTGAAAGTATTTAGGAATAGAAATTGAGTCTCTTTAAAGCTTTGGCAGCAATTCAGAAAATTTAATTTACAGTAGTCTCATTTTCTAACTCAGCAATTACATTTTTTTTTTTTTTTTTTTTTTTTTTCTCCAGTACCAGGAACTGAACTCACGACCTTGCGCTTACCAGGCCAGCGCTTTGCCGCTGAGCTAAATCCCCAGCCCTCAGCAATTACATTTTTAAGTTTTCTTTTTGACTCCATAGCTACTGAGGTCAGGTTTCAATTTTCAGATGATAAGTTTTCTCCCTGCTTCAGACTTCTGTTTACATTTATAATTGTAATGTGTCACAGTGCAAGAATGTAGTCTATTAAGATTCTTCTTAACCAGAGGTAGAAAAATAGGACCTGAACAAAGTCTCTGCCACCCTATTTCTCTACAGTGTCAACTGTTTATTAAGTATATTTATTTCAGTGTAAGAGGATGACTGCTTAATGCTTTGTACCTTAAATTCCACTTTCTCTTCTATGATCATTAATACTGCCTCCTTTCTATTTGGGTTTGCCTCCTGTACAAGCAGTAGATAGAAAACTGTTGGAAAATGAGATTGGGACAGTCATGCCAAAGTTTCTAATATCATGTAAACTTTGATGTTGTGGTGTTCTCTTTACATGAAACTAAGGTGTCTGACTTTTTAAATAATTTGACTCCTTGAGGAAAGCTAGGCAAAAGGAGATTCTTACAGTATTTCATTGTTAGGTGAGTAGGAGATTGTGGCAAGGAAAGACTGAATTATTTTCTTTAGTTTCACACTGCATGTTGTTTGTGTGGAGAAGGCATCGGCCAGCCGTGGCAAACACGGCAGCACACACATTATTGTGTTTTTCTTTTAAGACAAAAGATTTTAATGTAGAGTTGCTTTTTTCTGAACTAAAACAGTACTCAGATTTAATTGCATTGTTGCAACAAATAAGTGGGTCTTGGGTTACAGTTTGGTGCTTGGTCTCTAAAAGGTTCACTATCAGTGGTATAGGATTTGGAATTAAATTGATTTCATATCATGTATCTGCATGGCATTGGGTAAATAGTCTGAATTTTCTAAGCCTCTGTTTCCTCATCTATGGAATGTAAATATAATTCCCACTGGGTTGATGGGAAAACTAAATGAGAAAATATTTTAAGAGTTTGTAATGCAATGTCTGACCTGCCAGGTGTGACTTCATTTAGTAGTATCATTATCCCAAGTCTCTCGGAGCCTGGATCTTTGTCCCTCACTGATCTTGCGGGTTACTTTTGTGTTCCCTTAGGGAGGTCATGCTCACTGGCATGTCAGGATTCCAACTCACGGAATCTGAAATCCCAAGGCAAGACTGATTTTCATGGCTTATTTCTCTTCCTCAGATATAGCCTTGCAAGACTCTACACTTGCTAGAGATGAGAACGCAGAGGCAAAGATTATGGCTGCTGTGACTCTTTCAGTTGGCCCTCTGGTAAGCTAGGGTCTTCTCTTTTCCTGACTGGCCATACTAGTTTGAGAGCATGTCTACATTTCCTGAAGTCTGTGGCTTCTCTTACCTCATTCACATTCTTTCTAGGAACAGAACTAAATTGTTTGATCTGTGAAAATTAGGTTTATCAGTAGTAAAAGTTATAATCCATGGAAGGATTCATTAAACGTTTTGAATCAAATACTAAGACACAGGTTCTTTCCAAAAATATCCAAGCTACTTTTAGATATGACTTGCTTTTGGAGCTAAATTTGCTTTTGGAGTTAAATTTGTAGTGCTCCCATGAAATTCAAGTTAATTATGGAGCAGTGGAACAGAATATTATCAACTGGGAGGAAATTTCCAGAAAAATATATGAATACACACACACAATTTATAAAGCCCACTCCCCCTGTGCCTGTTCTCAGTGCTCTCCCACTTTGTGCATGTTAAGAAGTGGCCAACCTCATTAGATAACAGGGAGAGAAAAATGTTTGAGACATAATGCTTGCCTCTAGGGAGCTTAGTCTTGTTGAAAGTAAAATATACCCCCACAAAAAAGTAGTTACATAATTTGTTGAGGTAGTTGCTTTGCTTATAAGATGAGAGATTATTGTTATCTAAATTCTGCATGGAAAGCTCATAAGGAGAGCTCGGTTTCACCTGGTACCAAATGGGATTTAAATTGTCACAAAGTATTTGTGAGGCTGTCCCAGGTGAGAATGGAATGTAAGGGCAAGGCTCTGAGGCAGATAATAGTGGGTGACCTACTGACTCAAGTAGCAAAGTTGTAAAAAGATGAGTGAAAATTAAATATTTAAGGTGAATCTTTTAACATTTCCCTAAAAACATTTAAATGTGTATATGTGTATTCTTACGTGTGTTTGGATGGATATTAAAGTGACAAAAACTGTTTTAGCAGTAACTTTTTGAAGATTTGCAAGAAAGGTAATACCAGTATATATAATTTATTATACTAGTTATCTGTAATCTATATTAGTGAGCTTTTATTCTTTGTTTAAAACACCCTGTTAAAAGCCATAACTGTCTCAATCGTGTGTATTTGTCATTATCTCAAACAAAGTGAAAGAAGACTATGATTGGTCATTACAATAGGACCTTAATTTTATGCCTTACTAAAACAGTAGAGGTTCCCCACATACACTGCATGCACAACAGACTGGTGATGCCTACTGAGGCTCAGCTACAGCTCAGAGGCAGCCTGTCAATGAGTAATCTAATGCTGTGTCTCTTCAGAGCCCTGAAGTTACCCAGCCATGTGAAGATCTACATCTTCAAGCTGAAGAAACAGAATTGGTGAAGGTAATACCTGCTATCATATGTAAGAGGCATAAAAGAGAAGTTTCCTCTTACTGTCCCAAATTTTGAATATATTCATAGTTTATTAGTTCATGGTGAATATTTGATAGGGATAATAGCTCCTGGGCTGTTAGCATCAATCTTATTTTCCTTCTCTTAGCTGTGGCAGCCTGAAATTTGGCAGATGGTCAAATCATAATTATTAAGAATAAAATATAATTTCATCACACACTCTGACTTTTGCTTTGTATAGGAAGATCTACTATGTACAAATATGAAGAATATGTCAGCATCAGCGGAAATAACCTTAAGATCAGTTTAAATTGGTTTAGATTTTTATTTCACTATATTTGTTAAACATATTTTTTTATGAGCATAGTATCTTCTGATTTTCCCAGAAAAAAATCAGAATCAGAAATTAATTAAGAAAAAGTACCCAAAATTTAGGAAGAAGGCAAAAAGATAAATATTGGCTCTTTCAGTGTTGTAATTGACCATTGTCTAATAGGCCTAAGGGTCACGTGACACAGCAGGGGAACATTATATTTTATTGTTTGACTTATTATTTACTATTGATTAACATTCAACTCCTCAAAGAGATTCTAATTTGTAGAAGATTAAACAGTTGTAGATTATTTCTACCTCAGTGATAAGGTAATCCCTGAATTTCCATTTATTGCTTTATAGGACATTACCAGGTTTGTATCTAATTTTGTAATCTTATTCTAGGATTTTTTTTTTTGAAACAGGGTCTCACTATGTAGTGCAGGCTGGCCTCAAAGTCATGGCCATCTTTCTACCTCAGTCTCTCCAGTGCTGGGATTACAGACATGGGTCCCCATACCCGACCTATTCTAACATTCTTTTTTCCTAATCTATACATCTGTTTCTTTTGAATCAGTTTTGTCAAGCTCCTAATACAATCTCTTATTGGTATTGTAAGTAAATCTTTGACATGTATTCACTATGCTTTTAAGGAGAATTATGTTCTTGGTTTGGAAAGTTTTACTTTAAAAGTTGATTTTACTCCAAAAATATTTTTTGTAAAATTCAATTTTTCTTTTTGTTTCTATGAGAACATACATTCTGTGAGTCAGTGTTACACATAATATTTTTGAAATGTAGTACTGGGCTAATGAGTCTTAACATAAAACAATTTATTTGTCTTAAAATTGAAGGTGAAAATATTGAAAGTTTTAGGCTTTGAATCTTGAACCTTAGGAAACTCTACTTTTTGTCATAGTGAACAACTCAAATGTTTTAGTTTTATTCTTCTGACAGAATGCATCTCTGAAGGATTAATAATGTCTGGCTCCTCCTTAAATTTTGAATCTTTTCTATGAGTACTAAACTTAAACTACTAAAATTAAACTTTGTGTAATTTTTAGTAGGACCAATATTTTGATGACTGTCAACAAGTCATTATTTTATTGGTTTTTATTAGTATTTGTTTTATTTATAGAATAACCATTAGTGATGTTTTTTGAATAGTTTTTTTTTTCTCTAGCATAGTTCTTCAAAAGAAGTTTCATTGCTACCCATTGCCCTTTATTTTACATGTACGCATTTTTTTTAGTTCCCTTTATTAAAGAAACCAGATCATTTCTACTTTAGCGCTACATTGTCCAAAATAAAAGCCATTAACCTCATGAGACTGTTGACCATTGGAAATATGAATAGTCCAAACTGAGACATGGTAAAATTTAAAATGCATACCACATTTCAAAGACTTAATGTGAAGAAATAATATAAAGTATGTCATTAATTTTTGTATTGATTCCTGAAGTTACAATTATATATATGTAAATAAAATATATTATCAAAACTAATTTTATCCATTTCTTTTTATTTTTAATGTGGCTACTAGAAAATTTAAAATCACATATATGGTTTGCCTTATATTTCTATTGGACAGGATTGATTTAGAATTTCACACAGTATGGGTTTTACTGATTGCATCCCTATGGGATTATTTAACTTGCTCTTCTGCCCCTGTATTTCCCTTAAATTGTTAGTTAAATCCTTGATCAGATTCAGATGTTGATTTTTAAAAATATTTTGGCAGTATTATTTCATATTGTTGGTATTCACATCAGAACATATATGATGTCTGAGGTCTGTTTCTTCTGTTAGCAGCCCCTTGTGATCCTTTAATTTATGAGAGTTTGCAACATGGTGATGTTCTAATTGTTTCTTTATTCCTTCTTTATTTATGAGTTGGAGTAGTTACACAAAGAGAAACCTCCCCTCATCCTTTATTTAATTGTGCTTGATCACTATACAAGCTGTATAGTTTGCATAGGACAGCGGTGGCGAACCTATAGTACACATGCTGTTTTTCTTTTAAGACAAAAAGCGTTAATGTAGAGTTGTTTTGTTTAAAACTAAACCCCTAATTTTCAGGTTTAATTGCAGCGTTGGCATGTTGAAATAAATAAATGGACTTTGGGTTGCAGTTTAGCACTCCATCTCTAAAAACTTTATCATCACTGATATAGGAAAAAAAGAATAAAACATGATTTTTTCTCCCTTTACTTACCATTTTTCAGGCATTCTCCAATGGATATTAGTAAGGTTTTTTAGTGGTTTATTATGAACTTGTGAATGTAAATGTACTAGATATTTTTAAAATCCATTGCAGTTATTATCCTTATTGTCCCATCATTGGTCAGTGTGGGTCTCTTCAAGTTGTCACATGTATTTTAGACATGACTTGAGGAATCTTTGATAGCTTTCTTGCTCTTTAATGTGTAAAAATTTCCCAGGCTTGGTTCTTTTTAGTGGAAAAGTATTTGTAGAGGCCACAGTCTGGCTTTCATGATGCTATCTTATTAGTTATTGTTCTGGGCATTTTTAGATAGATGAAGCTAGGAAATACAGTTCAGTTTTTTCCTTAAATGTAAAATAATTCATAAATCTGCATTGTCACCTCCAATTCACTCTCAGAATTATGCATTTTTAAAAGCTAATCTCATCAGTGTTACACTTGTCTCTTATTTCTTCCATGCCAAATTTTTAGTTTTTGACATCAGTGTAGTAATTTGCTTCATCCAACACTGTACACACAGCCCTTATAGGATGGCATTTCTGACACTAACACCAATATGATTATTTATTGAAAACATTTTATTCTGCTTTTTATTTTTGAAATTCTTTTTCTCCTCAGGGCATATCACAGATACATACAGAAAAATTAGTAACTCAGAATAGTTTCTGATGAATGGTTGTGCAGCCAGCTGGACTCATTTTACTTGGAACTTTTAGAATTTTTTAAAAAAACTTGTCTGTTTTAAAATAAGCTATTTACGTTTCCAAAGTCAAATATACAAAACAAATATTCAAAAAGGTCTACCTTCTGCCTCAGTTTCAGTTATATTAGTAAGGAATATATATAGCTAATTATGGCCTGACAAAAGAACCTCCCCCAAAGTCCTGTGCTTTGTGTTCTTTCTCTGAGAGGACTTATGGTGTCTAAATGATAAAATGTATCTTTTATTAAGCCATACTATATCGATTGGAACTGAAAGAAGATTGAAAACAGATAAACCAGTTTTAAGGGAGAAAAGATTTGGATAAAACCTACTGGCAGTTATAAAATATTTTAAAGACTTAGGGAAACCAAAAACCATGTTATTTGACTCCAAGTAATATAGTAGGACTAACACTTAAAATTTACAGTAAGCAGATTTGACATAGTGTGAAAAAAATTTCTTTTATCAGATGAAACTCATCATGAAATAGGCGCCTACTTGTGATTTTAAATTCTTGCCATGTATCCTGTAAGGATTGAACAGGTTGACCTTTTTGTTATTGTTGTTGTTTTGTTTTTTGAGATAGGGTCTTATTGTATATTTTAGGCTGGCCTTGAACTTACTGTATAGTACAGGCTGGCCTTGAATTCATGGCAGTCCTCCTACATCAGACCCCCAAGTGCTGGCGCTGGGATTATAGGCGTGTGCCACCACGCCCAGCCAGGTTGACCTTTACAATCACTTGGTGATTCTGCTTTCTGAAGTTCTTCCCTACTTTCATATTTCCTGCATGCCTAACAAGTCTAATTTTACAAAATCTCAGTGATTGCACTATATTTATTTTAGGAATCAGTGACATTTAAAGATGTGGCTATAGACTTTACCTTGGAGGAATGGAGGTTGATGGACCCTACACAGAAGAAACTGCATGAGGATGTGATGCTAGAGAATTACAGAAATCTGGTCTCCCTGGGTAAGGATAATTTCTTTTTTGTGTTGATGGATTTGTCTATTTAACTACATTTGCCAAGAATATAGACTAGAGCCTCAAAAGCGCCTTACTGAATTTGGTTTAGAATTGAGGCATTCAGAGTTTCTCAATCTTAGAGGCACACTGTTGGAAGTTTTTGTCTTCCTCTTAACTAAATTCTGTGCTCATTACATAGTAGGACACATATTTCTTTGGAATCAGAAATTGTTGAAAGTACCACAGACTTAGAACCAACGTTTTTTCTGATCACTTCCATAAATGAGAATTGCTATCATTGCCTCTAGAAAGAAACAAATGTGTTCATTTTTTTTCTGAACTTAGATTATTTGCATGATCCCACCAAATTGGGATCATACTGCTGAGCTCCCTTGCGATGCTTTATGATTCTCTAGAACATCACCGTATAAGAGAGCATTCTGTTATGATAGAGGTGTCCAGTATATATCTGTGTTTCCCAGTATGGTAAATCTTAGCCACTAGTAGTTTTTGAGCACTTGAAATTTGACTAGTCCTTCTGAAGAAGTGAATTTTAAATTTTATTTAATTTTAATTAACTACAGTTCAGGTTTAAATATCCACATGTGACTACTGGCAATCACATTGGACAGAGTAGTTCAAAAACTTCCTGCAATAACTGCCCTATACAGAAAATTAACAATTAGAACTGAATTTGGTAATAGTTTTTACTTGTAGCTTCAGCTAAAGTCCTATTTCTCTGAACAGGGCTTGCAGTTTCTAAACCAGATATGATACATCATTTGGAGAATGGAAAAGGACCATGGACAATAGTGAGAGAAATTTCGAGAACCCCCTACCCAGGTGAATTAACCAAAACCGTAAAAATGGTGTTTTTCAAATAACGGGTCATGGGGAGATATTCAGCAGAATATATGAAATATTTTTGGTAGCATTTATCCAAAACCACTCAAAGAAAAGAGCGCCTTCCCCATTCCTCTCTCTCTCTGCCCATCCCTGTCACTCTGTCTCCTTTCCCCCATCTTTACCCTCCCCCTATGGCTCCGTGTCCCATCTGAGTTGACTTTCTTGAGGCCATAATTTTCACAAAATTTCTTCATTTCTTCTTTAGTCAAGGATTCATAACATACCCTTTTAGTTCTGTCCTTTCCATTTAACTTTATGTTCTCGTTTGTTTCACCACTTTCTGATGTTTATTTCCCTGAAAATCCTCTCTTAAGCTTCACCACTGATTACTTTTGAGTGAAACCCATTTACTTGTGATTTGATGTTCTTCACCTACAAGGCTGCTGCAGCACTATGGGAGACCCTCATCCTAACCTTCAGATACTTAACTAATTGAAGTACAAAGAAGAAATCAGTTGAGAATCAAAATGCAGTGATTTAGTTAATCATTTACTTAATCAGTATTTATTACGTAGCTATATGCTGTGAGCTGGATTAGGTATTAAGGCAAGAGCAAAGAGGAAGATGTAACAGGTCCCTGTACTCCTGAAGATTTAATTTCAACAAATAGATCATTAACAAGTAAAGAAAAATGAAACAATAGCTGTAATGCCATTTACCTGTGAGATAAATGGGAAGATATGAAAGAGTAATGGGAAGCACATGAAGCTGCCTTCTTCATATGGGGTGGCTGGGGGAAGCCTTGGAGGAGGTGACATTAAAGCTGACCTGAGATGTCAGAAGAAGCCACCCAGGAGAAGAGCAGAGAAGCATTCCAAGCAAAGGGAACAGCAAAGCCACAAGGACCTGATACAGCAAAAAACATGTGTTCTAGAAATCAAAAGAAGCCCATGAGACTGAACCATAAGTGGACAGAAACCTGTATCAAATGAGATTAGAGTGGTGGACAGGAACATGCAGGGTTTAGGAGATGATGTAAGGAGTTTGGAGCTTAGTCCAAATGAGCTGAGTACAAAAGCATGGAAAGATTTTAGTTAACAGTTTTTAGAAAGTAACCCTGTTCATAAGATGGAATTTAAGGGCTTAAAACAGACAATAAGGGGTGGTTTTAACAGCCTAGGCAGGAGTTGATAGTCATTTTGATTAGAGATGATTGTAATGGAGATGGAAAGAAATAAATGGATCCTAGTTTATTTGATAGTTCATTGTATTATAAAGCCAGCCATACTTCACATATACATTGCGTATATTCTTTTTAAATAGCGAATATTATTTATACTTAAACCAATGGCTGTTTCTGGTGCCTACAGATACAATTCCAGCTTCTCCAGAGGTTGAGGCAAGAAGATGACAAGTCTGAGGCCAGGGTGGGCAACTTAGTGAGACTGTGTCTCAAAGTAAAAAATTTTGAAAAGAGCTGAGGGTATAGCTCAATGGTAGTGTTTGCTCAATCCCCAGTACCAAAAAGTAACACACAAATGAGCAAATGAAAGGTAAACATGGAGATAGTTTTACATGGGTTTTTGGAGACAAATTTTCAAAGAGGGAGAGAAAAATGGGGCAATGACTCCTAGAAAATATAAGGAAAAGCACTCTTGATTTGCTTTGAGGCAAGTTTCCAAGGCACATTGCCATGCTAAAAGGAACACCTTTGAGCACCTTTTAGCAATGGAGAGGAAGAAATTGGTATAGCAAGGTAAATATAGTATTCATGGAAGGACTGAGGTGTTTGAGAAGATTTAGTGACAAAATCTTGACAGAAAAAGAAGGCATTTACCTTTGATGAACAGAGAGGTCACCTCCTGCATTCTAACCCTAGCCAAGATGGAAAAAGCAGCGACAGGTAGATGTAGGTCAGCTTGTGGCAAGGTCAAGGCATTCTGTCACAGTAACTTCTATGTTCTCTAAACTGTGAGGCGAGGTCGTCAAATTACAATGAGAAAGAGAAGAGTTGTGAGAGGAGGATTCTGTGCTTTATGCCATACAGATTCACTGGATATACTGAATTTATCTTGACCTGAAGCTTTTTTTGTAGAAAGTGTTTAATTGTGGCTCATAGTACTTGTAGAACTATTTTTATTACTTACTTTTGTTTCAGCTTATCAAGTGATGTTTATCTAGGAGTCAATCCAGTTAATCTAAAGTTTAGATTTATTAGCATGCTGTCTATCCTCTGTTTATCTTTTAAATATCTATGTAGATGTAAAATGACATCTCACTTTGCATTCTTGATAATCAAATTGTTGTATCTTCTTTCTTTAATCTTAATCGGTCTTGCTAGGGTTTATCAATCTTATTTGGCATTTAAAGAACCATTCTTTTTATCTTTTTTGTGCCTTCAGTTTGTTTTTTACTTTCTACTCTTTATTATGCCATTACTCTTGCCTTCTTAGGATTTAATTTGTAGATTTTCGCTAAATAATTTAAGTGTATACTTAATGAGTTTTAGCTGCTCTTTTTTTCTAATAATGTATTTAGGGCTATCAAGACTGTATGACACTTTTTATGCAGCATCTTCATAATTTCTGAGTTCATAGTATTGTAATGTCTTTGTTGTGTCATTTTGAAGTATTTTTTTTTAAATTTTGCACCATGTGGCAGTTTTCTAATATCTTATCTTTAGTCCTCCTGTGGTCAAAGGATATGGTCTGTATGATTTTAGTTTATGAATTTCTTAAACTTGATTTATTTGCCACATGGTCAGTTTTTACAAACACTGTATGCACTTGGAAAAAGCATGTAATGTATAGGTCTTGGCTACAGGGTCTAGATATTTGAAGAAGTCAAGATTGTTAAGTATGTTGCTATGATCTATGTACTTACAGCTTATTCTGTCAGCTGTTGAGACTTTTTAAATCTCCCAGTGAGACTTAAAGTTTTTTGCTTTATTTATTTTAAATCTGTATGATTAAGTAAAGACAAAGTTAGAACCATATATCTTTTTGGTAAATTGGACCTTTTGTCATTATGAAGTGTTGTTTTTACCTTTCAGTCTTTTATTGCTGATATTTATATTATTTAAACATCATTCTCTTGATTGTTGTTGGTGTGGTATATCTTTAATCTGCTCATTTTTATTTTTTATACATCTTTGTGTTTTACGTGTTTCTTTTATAAGAGGCATATTCATTGTTTTTAACTAGGCTCACAATTCATATCTTTTGTAGTTTTTGTCCATCTGTACATAATACTTTTCATAATGTTTAACTCTGCCATCTAACTGTGGAAATGTTTCACTTCTTCTGTGTTTCCTTCCTATTTATACCTTCTTTATAGATTTATCATATTTCATTCTCTACTCCTTCTAATCATTTGTTAACTATATAATTTTTAATTATTTGTGTAGCAGTTAACCCTGAAACTAAAGCATGATACTTTTATTTAGCAGTCTACTATAGGTTTTTCTTTTTTTGTTTTTTTTTTTTTTTGTTTTTTTTGTCTTGGTTTTTCTCTGGTACCAGGAACCGAACTCATGACCTTGCGCTTTCCAGGCAGGTGCTTTGCCGCTGAGCTAAATCCCCAGCCCCTACTACTATAGGTTTTTCCATCTTCTCAAACTATATAGGGAATGTAGACCAGATTATCCCATTTAATGTCAATATATTTTTGAAGTTTATGTATTTTAATACTTTATACAGCAAATTGCACAAGACATTATTATTGTTCTATACAGTCAATATTCATTTAAATTTACTCACATTTTTACCTTTCCTTTCAGTTAATTTTTTTGTTCATTTTTGACATTATATTTGGGATTACTTTTCTTTTGCCTAAAGAACATCTTTCAGTATTTACTCTTATTCAGATTTGCTGGTGTCATATTCTGCTACACACCCCCTTTTTTGCTGCCTACAAATTTCTTTAACCTTCACTTTGAAGGTTATTTTTGGTAAGTTTAGAATTGTAGGCTGGCTGTTGTCTTCTTTCAGCATTGTGAAGGTGTCCTTCAATCATTTTTGCCTTGCATTGATTCTGCGGAGGAGTCAGGCATCTATCTGACTGAGGAATTAGCAAACTCCATATGTAAAGGGAAGGCAACAAATATTTTAGACTCTGTGGGTATGTCAGTTAGCATGCAATCACTAATAAATACTTGAGATAAATCAATTTAAAAAGAGGAAAGTTTTATTTTTAGTTCATAGTTTTAGGGGGTTTAGTATATTGTTGATTTGACCATTGCTTGTGGACCTGTGGCAAGGTTATCCCTCATGATAGGATAGGAACATATGTCAAAGAAGCTATTTACCTCATGGTGGCCAGGAAGCAAAGACAGAAAACATGGAGAGGCCAGGATCCTATTTCTCTTCAAGAGCACACACCTAGCGACCTAACTTCCTTCCCGTAGGCCCAATCTGCTAATTTTCACTACTTCCAAGCTTAAAACATTGAGTTGGAAACCAAACCTTCAATAAATGGGCCTTTAGAGACATTTAAAATCTAAATTAAAGCAGTAGGGTTGTAAAGTCTTTGTTGCAACTGTTTCATCTGCTATTGTAGCACAAAAGCATCCACAGATAATACATGAATCAATGAATGTGGTTGTATTCCACTAAAATTTTGTTGATGGACAAAAAATGGAATTTCGTATAATATTGATATGTTATATTTTTGATATATTTTAATCACTTAAAGCTGCAAAAATTATACAAAAATAGATAGTAGACTAGATTTGGCTGTACTTTACAACCTGTAATCTAATTGTTACTCCTTCAAGGAAATCTCTGTATCCTATGACTACTTTTAATTTGGTTTTCTGCAATTTTACTATGTGCTTTAATGTAGTATTCTTTTTATTTCTCATACTTGAAGTTCATTTGGCTTCTAAACTTTGTGATGATTTTTTTAATCCATTTTGGAAAATTCTCAGGCATTATTTCATCAAATTCTCATTTTCACTCTTCTTCCTAGCTTCCTTGGACTCTGATTCCATCTATAGTGTACATTTTCATTCTATATTATATGTCTATTAGGCTTTTTAAGTGGTTTTTAACATTCTGTGCTTTGATATGGATATTTTCTCTTTTTTTTAAGTTTTTTTTTTCTTCATACCAGGAACCAAACTCAGAATCTTATGCTTGCCAGACAAGCACTTGTGCCACTGATATGGATATTTTCGGTTTGTTTTTTTTTTTTTTTTTTTTTTTTTTTTTTTTTTTTTTTTCACAACCTTGTGCTTGCCAGGCAGGCGCTGTGCCACATTCATGTTCCAGAAAAGAATATCAGCATTG